TGTGTGTGTGTGTGTTGGAGAGGGAGGGGGTTAAATTAGCCATCTGGTGCCCCCTGGTGTACATGAATCGTACTACAATGTTGCTCTCTGCACGAGTGGTTAAAGGAGTCTCCAGGCATAATTGATTGATTCACTAAAAATCTAAATCCTTGAGGCTAACAGGGGAGACCTGTATCAAGCGTGATGCCAAGATTAGATTACTGTGAATTTGCTGCGGCTCATGACAGGAGACGTCATGTGATGGCCGCTGCACCAGAGCTTGTTGGACGTGTTGAGTGGAGTTCCTCTTTCCTCGTCACTTAAGACCTGAACCGCATCAGTTTGTGTACAAGCCTCTTTTTGTTTCAGCGTCTCCGCTCCTTTTGATTCTCCCATTAATACGGGAAAGAAATCAAACCTGAATCTTTGGTCTCAAGTGAAATTTGTTTGGCAGTTGAGCCACTCAGACCAGTTCACTGCATGACTCCTGTCTAAAAGCCTTCCTGTGCTGTTAAATCATACCCACTCAGTGGCAATCAAGAGATTTCACAGAGACTGATGTGTCTTTTATTGTCTTCAGGGCAATGGAGAAGCTGAATGGATCTATGATGGAGAACTATGCCTTGAAAGTGTCCTATATCCCAGATGAGACGGCTGCACCGGAGGGTCCTTCGGTGGGGGGCAGGAGAGGCTTCAACACCCGCGGACCGCCTCGCTCCGGCTCTCCAAGTCTGGGTGCTCGGCCCAAAACGCAGTCAGAGGTCCCGCTCCGCTTGCTGGTCCCAACGCAGTTTGTAGGAGCCATCATTGGCAAGGAAGGCGCCACTATCCGCAACATCACCAAACAGACCCACTCAAAGTACGTACACGGAGGTCAGGAATTAAACTGCGCATTGCAAGTGAATGACTCCCTTCCTGGGGTGCACTCTTGACCCGTGCTTAAGGTGGGCTGATGTGAGCTTCTTCTCTACGCCAGGATTGACATCCATAGGAAAGAAAACGCAGGTGCAGCAGAGAAGCCCATCACAATTCACTCCACGCCTGAAGGCTGTTCGAACGCTTGCAGAACCATCATGGAGATCATGCAGAAGGAAGCTCTTGACACAAAGTTGTGAGTTTTCTTTTTGTTACCAAGAGTAAATCAAACCTAAGTTAATTCTTGGAGTGAAGTTATGAAAGTAAACTTGTTAAACATGCATTTTGCCCAATAGTTTATCACAATTCGTACAGTGAAGGTGAATCACGCGTGCTGTGATGTACAGTTATTTACTTTATAATTTGCAGAAATGTGTGACTGACGATAAAGACTGATGACTTCATAGTTGTATCTGTAAAAGCTTAGACCAAAAAATAACTTTAAACAGCTTGTACGCGGAATACAAACTCTTTTGTGTGGCACACTGAAGCTGCAGTCAGCCTCTTCAGAAAGGCTTATCGGCTCACACTTTCAAACAATATTCCATCTCTTCCCCCCTCACATGATCTTTGGCTTTTTGCTCCACCTTCCAGTGTAGCCATTTAGACAAATACGAGCAGGTCATGTCTATAAACTGATTAGTATTTGCTCAGGCCTTTAACGTCCTCTCTGTCTCATGCAGCACCGAGGAGATCCCACTGAAGATCCTTGCACACAACAACTTTGTAGGAAGATTAATAGGGAAAGAAGGACGCAACTTGAAGAAAATTGAGGTGGACACGGGGACCAAGATCACAATCTCACCGTGAGCCTGTTTGACACCTTCTTGTTGACACTGTTTGTAGCAGGCAATTCAGAAAGGTGCCAGAGTGTACGGCATACATTTTTAATGCTGTAGTAGTATTTGCTGCGATGTCGATTCGTGCTCTATATAAGGAACGCTGCTCTGCTGGCCCCTGCTCACCCGCCTCATTGTTCTGTCCAGTCTCCAGGACCTGACCATGTACAACCCAGAGCGGACCGTCACAGTGAAGGGCACCCTCGATGCGTGCGCAAAAGCCGAAGAGGAAATGATGAAGAAGCTCCGGGAATCGTATGACAGCGACATGGCTGCTATGAACGTAAGCTTCTTCAGCACTAACTTAGCAAAGGAACAAAAAGAAATAAAAGCATTCCTGGGAAATTTTATGTGATGATGGAAAGTACTGCTGCTTTAAAAATGACATGGACAGCTTGTTACTGATAGAAAAATGCTAATCCAGACGACCAGAAAACAGTTTTTAGGAAGGAAATCAGTTATTGGTGTTTACATCCACAGCAGTGATCTGGGAACACAGCTGCCATGATAACACTGTGATATCCTGAATTGTCATGTAAAACCTCACATTTAAAAAAAAAAACACAACAACAAAAAAAACAACAAAACCTGTGATAGTGGGTTTTTTTTTGCAGGAAAATCCTGTTTAAACAGGTTTGTTTCAGTCTGAAGGAAAGATTTCAGTTTTTCTAGGAAATTCGAATATCGGGGAATGACTGTAAAACAAGAATATTTAGATTAATATTCAGCGTCAGTTCCTCCTCAGCTTACAGGTAATGTGAAAGCTGCATCTGGAAAATAACAGTGGGCATGTTGTTTACAAGATGGACAATGAATCAAATGTACTCAGAATCAGGAAGGAGGCTTCCATTGTGATATTCTGAGTCTTTGTAAACATCCCTGCTGAACTCGAGCTGCTGTTACTCTGAGATTATCCGTGATGTTCAGTTCAGAAAATTGAAAACTTTGCAATTTTGTATTGTTCACATGCTAAAGGAATGACTTTTAATGAGTTAGCGGCGTTGGAGAGCAAGCGTACAAATTGATGCAAATCGTGTTGATAGAAATGTTCTCATTTCTCTCCAGCTCCAGTCCAACCTGATTCCAGGCTTGAACCTGAACGCTTTGGGCCTGTTCCCCAGCGGAGCACCAGGCATGGGTCCCTCCATGTCCAGCCTCCCGCCTCCTGGAGCCCACGGCGGATGCTCGTCATTCGGAGTAAGTGACGGCCTCCGTTGCATCCTGCTTGCCCCATACACGACGTTAGACAAACCCAGGACTGGCTGTGTTTTTATTTTTTGACTTGATATGCTGCATCTCTGGGGCAGGCTCGTGAAAACTGATTCAGACAAAAGCACAGATTCAGTCTTTAGCTGCTCAGTTTCATGTTTCTTTTTCCCCTTTAGTGCAGCCCTTATGGGGGTGAGGGGCCATTTTGGGCTTCTGTGCTGTCGGCGAGCAGCCAGCCCCTCGCTGTAAGTCACCCATCCCAAAGTGCTTTGCACGGCTTGTGGCTGCTCGCTGCGGGATTAGGGGCGTAGGGTTTGCTCCATCCAAGTTCTCCTCCAGCTGCCCACTGCTCTTTGACATTTAGTCAGGCCCCGATGTGCCTGCAGTTCACCAGGTGGATGCAGAGACACAAGTCCTGAAGGGCGATCTTTTTTTGTTTGTTTGTTTCACCAGATGATTTAGCGTCACTTCAGCCCAATACAAAGTTTTGCAGTTGTTTAGGAAGGCGGACATTGGAACAGCGAGTACAACATCCTCGGTACCAAAAGCCCTTCCCCAGATTTTGTAGGCTGCCAAAGCAGGTTGTTAGTGTGCCCTCAGCTGACATATTGACTGGAAAATTGGGTTCAATCCAAAATCAACAAGCGCTACCTGTTGTTCCGTTTTTGACGAGGCAGCACACTCCCCCTCAAGTCAACCACACTCACTAAGAACAAGTGATGTGTTCTAGCAGTTTGCAATTAAGGCATCTGTAAATAATCACGTTTATATGACACTCTCCCTTTATGGGGATTAATGGCGAAACATGGAGCTTCGTATCTGTGAACCACTGTCCACCAGATGGGTTTTTATTTGGAGTTTAATAGGTTACTGCTAAACTGTTGCATGTGACAAACTAATGTTGTGGCATTTGACAACAGAATGGGACTGAGAATGTTTTACAACCATTCTGATGTGGGCAGCGTAAACCGAACCAGGACTGGTTTGGGGAACCGGCTGTTTGCTCTTCATCAGAATTGAGTAACAACCCAGCATTGTTTAAAAAAAAAAAAACCTCCCACTGGATATTATAACGGCGTATCTGCGCGGACAGATATGCCACCTGACAAACTGCTGTTCTCAAGAGGACGGCGAAAGCTCCGGTGTCACTTTAAGAATTTATCAGCTTTTGCTCGATCCACCGTCTGCATTTTTGCGCATTGGTTTTGCTGTTGTCGAGCAAATGGTTCCGCCGTTACTGTCTGTGTGATCGTCTCCCGGTCACAGCGGTACTAAGGTGTTTATACCCAGCAGGGACACCCCGAGTCGGAGACGGTTCACCTGTTCATTCCTGCACTTGCGGTGGGAGCCATCATTGGAAAACAGGGTCAACACATCAAACAGCTGTCACACTTTGCCGGAGCCTCAATCAAGGTGAGTGACGGACAGGCGGTGGAATTCTGAATCTCAATGATAACGTGTCGACGCCAGCTGTCTTCCTCTTGTCACTTGATGGATAGGAGTTGGAAGCGTAAGTGAGGGTTGCCGTTTTTTAATGCTGTGCGTCTGCCCTCCTTCAGATTGCACCTGCGGAAGGAATGGATGCCAAGCAGAGGATGGTCATCATCATTGGACCACCGGAGGCTCAGTTTAAGGTGTTGTGCTTTTATTTGGCTGTGAGGGTACAAGAGACGCTGGGCGGTAGAAATAAAAGACTGAAGTCGCATTGTTAAATTTAATGGCAGCAGCTGCTTACAAGGACTTGGATTTATTAAGTCATGCTATTTTGTTTCATATCTGGTGTTTATTTGGCTGTTAGAGGATTGTTACAGTCGGCAAAGGAATACGTTTTGCCTCCACTTTATGTTTAAAAAAAGAAAAAAATAACGGTTCCGTTTCCTAAATGCAGCCTGAGTAATCTGTACTTGAACCTGTCTGGCTGCAGGCTCAGTGTCGTATCTTTGGCAAGCTGAAGGAAGAGAATTTCTTTGGACCCAAAGAAGAGGTGAAGCTGGAGGCTCACATCAAGGTTCCCTCCTGTGCTGCTGGACGAGTCATTGGGAAGGGTGGAAAAACGGTAAACAAGGACACTGACTCATAAATCACTGCACTAGTTGCACAAATTCAAGCCAGAATTTTGCGTATTCCAACAAATGAAGATTTAGGCTTCAAATAGCGGTGGCGTTATTCACGTCTTTACACCTGTTTGTTTTCATGTCTTTATTGCTGCTGCAGGTAAACGAACTGCAGAACTTGACCTGTGCAGAAGTGGTGGTGCCCCGGGACCAGACGCCTGATGAGAATGATCAGGTTATAGTCAAGATCAGTGGACACTTCTTTGCATGCCAGGTGGGTCATGGAAAGAAAAAAAACAAAAAACAGTATCTGAGTAAGACAGAAAGCACTGGATTTGACTTCCTACAGGCACAGAATGAATGCATTGTTGCTTCTCAGTCTCTGTTTAACAGAATAAATGGCCATATAGTAAGATCCTATACCAACTATACTTGGTCTTTCTGTGCATATTTGGCCATAGCCAAAATCAACCTATAGATATTCAGCTATTTAAATGTACTGCTGTGTCCTCTGGACCCAAAAACCTGCCAGCAAGTCTGAAAGATATGTTCTCATTAAAAAAAAAAAAAGTCAAAATGATCCATTTAACTGAGCCAGAAGCTGTGAAAATGAAAAGATTTGTCGTATTGTCACCTTTCCGGTGGTTCTTGAACTACTCATGTCATGCTTGTTTATCAGAGAACTAAACCAAAGTCTAAACTTCAGATTGTTCCATCAAAATCACTTGTCTCATTTTAAAAATTGGCAAAAATAAAGTTTACACCAGACTCTATAACAAAAACGACCCCAAAAATTAGCTGCTCTGTGGAGCCAGTATCAGTTGAACTGCAGGATGTGTATTCACAGCACATAAGTGACAAGTAGAAGAACAACAAAAAAATCATGTAGTAAAAAGTCTGTGTAGAGCCAGAATTTTTAACACCTGTGGGCACTTTAAAAAAAAATGTTATACCAGATTTTTGTCCCCATTTTTTTTTTGTGTGTGTAAAATATCAAAGTTCACCTTTCAGTTTTTCAGACTGACATACTGCACAGAAGATGTTTCTGAGTTGTCTCTACTTCTAGCCATGGTTGTGCTGTTTCGCTGGAGGTGTAGAACTTTATGTTGGGAAAAAATGAGTGGAGCAAAACCACCCAGAAACTGAGTGTTCATTCAGAGGTCTTGTGTAGCATGTCGGCTGTTATCCCCTGCCTGGGGGAGAAGAACAGTGACCGACCATAAAGGGTAACTTTCTTGTGCACAGGACAATCACACTCATGTGGCTTTGTTCATATTACAATTGGGCTGCTTATATTCTCACATTGCCCCGCTTATCAAGTATAGAAAAACTCGCGGGGCAATTTTTCTAGACTCTACTTGCTGCTTATGGATAGGTCTGTAGCACCGCGTCCGTGACTATTTCCGAGCACATTAGGCACGAGAGTTTGGCTGCTGTGTTTAGGCTGCTTCGATGGAAAGCAGGTACAAATCAAAGCACCTCTATAGTCCAGCAGTGACTACATCAATTACAAATCTGTTAATTATAAAGCTGTGGATGGCCAAGAATCTCCTCAGTCTCTCGTACCAATGATTTGTTTAAAGCACCCTTGTGGATGTCAAAAGTGTGACTTGGCCTTAAGGCATTACTAGAAGATACCACGGCATCCTCTCAATTTAGTAACTTTATTCTCTGGTTTGTTGTAAACATGTTCTCCTCGTGTCCTCCAGCTGGCCCAGAGAAAGATTCAGGAGATCCTGGCCCAGGTGAGGAGGCAGCAGCAGCCGAAGCCCGCACCCGGAGCCCAACCTCCACTGCCCCGCAGGAAGTAAAGAGCCAGCGGACCTGGAGGAATGGTGACTGAATCTGCCAGAAGACTCGACAGAAGGACAGATGCAGCAGAGTCCAGGGGGAGAATAAGACAGAGGGTCCTAACGCTCATCTCAGGGGTTAAAGGTTATCAGAACTCAACCAAACATCCACCCCTCCTTACTTGAAGGACTTTCAAGTTGTGGCTAATTAGAGACCCTGCGCCTCTAAAGCTCCACCCTCTCTGCATCTCTGTGAGAATGTACTTCTGAGGGCTCCCACCAACGTCACCTGCCCTCACATGTACACACCCCTCGACCGCTCTCCTCCCCCCACGGGTGTGTGAAAATTTTTATAGATTTTTTTTTTTTTCTCTCTCTCTCCCTGTTTTTGTTCTCTTTCTACACTAGAAACACAAAGAAGACATAAGGATCCCCCTCCTATCACCTCCTTGGTGTGGTACTTCAAACATGACAAGATGTTTTTGGTTGACTTCAGATTTAGTTAACACCTGTTTTTTCTTTTTTAGTGTTTAATTGGTTGATGAAGCTTTCTCATGAGTTTTCTGTGGAAAAGAAAAGGCATTGCTATCGAGGTCCTGGTCGGATCAACAGAGAGGTTTATTTGGGGGGAGGGTTGGCTCAGATTGGGTGGGCCGTGATTAGGGAAAGATTCTTGTTTTAGGACAGGACCCCTGAAAGGGTGGATTATATTGGGCGTCCTGCCCTTGTAATGATAGTGGCATTTTATAAATTCGGATGCATTTTATAGATAGACCTATATACATAGATGAATATATATATTTAGAGGTGAGGGCAGCGCCATGACTGACACTTAGGGAAATGGTGCCGAACTGCTGCTGCCCAGGAAAACCAATTTAATATGCATTTTACTTAACTACCTCAGGATCAAGTACCTCAGAAGAGAAAAGAAAAATGATTATATATATATAAATATATATATATATATAAATATATATGGAAAAAAATGTTCCTTTCTTTTTTATTTTGCTTTTGTGGTATTTTGTATACTTTATAAAGCTGATAGTCTTTGAACATTTTTATTTTTTTAAGAAAATTTAAAATTTGGTCAGCTGCCAACTGACCTTGCCTTCAACTCTGGTGCTTTAGGTGGCATTGTACATGTGTATGTGTGACTTAAGATGACCCTGTACATAAAGTCTATTTGTACATAGCAGCCCCGGAGCACGAGTTGGCGCCCCCTCAGCTGGCGGCTGACAGGAGTATCGAGAGAAAATCGCCTCAGTTTTTCCCCTGAGGGTCCACCATCTTCTGGGAAAAAAAAAAAAAAAAGTACTAAACAACTAAGACATGCAAATAATGCCAACCGTACATAATCGCAGCAATGCCATTTAGTTTTGGGATTGACATTGTTATTGGTAATGGTACTTTAATTTGTCAAAATTTCCTTTTCGCCTTCCTGCGAGGGCTGTGGTCAGGGTGCTGTAGGGGCAACCTGTAATGGGTCCTCCCTGTAGCTGTCCTCGAGTCAGCAGAGCATCTGTTTTTGGTCTGTTCTGTTCCCAGGCCATCTGCCACCTTCTTGATGATAGTGTCTTAGCAAGGTCCAAGCCCAACTAGGTTTATTTTCATAGAGCAAGCTTTGTCAGTTCGGAGTGGCCCTTGTAGCCAGGCCATTAAGTCGATGTTAACGTCATTCACTGCATGGTGAGGGTAGGGGGAGTCACACTGATAGATGCATATATCTTTTTTTTTTTTTTTTTTTTTGCGCTTTAGGAAAATGATTTAAAAAAAGAAAAAAGGACATTCTCTGTAACCCACAAATGTACTTGATGTTTCATTTTGTTGTTCATACAGGGAAAACAAGCCAGATGAAGGCACACATAAAATACTGAATGAACCCTGACTGAAAAAAAAAAAAAAAAGAGATGAAGAAGAAGAAAGGAATCCAAAACTTAAAAGTATACGATTTATTTCATTTGTTTCCATGCCGAATGTAAATATGTTGATTGTGGTAAAAGTGCTCGAGTGTATCCATGCTTCCTCAGTAGAACGCCGTCTACCTCAGCTGAGGGGGTGGGGGGGGTGGTTGTGGCACTAGGCACCCCCACCTGCCCCCACTGAGCGCCAGCGCGCACTGATACCTCAGTCCTCCCCTTCCTCCTCCTCCTCCTCCTCCTCCCCCCAAATTTCTTTCTTACCTGGGCGCGCCTTTCCAACACCGCGCTTAACTGAGGGGCACAAGTGATACTTAAAATTCTCCCCGACATTTCCCCTATTTCCCCCCCTCCACCGCTTCCTCCTTCCCTCCCTCCCCCCTCCTCCAGTTTGTTTTGATCTACCTCTTTAGACACGTATTTGAAGTAGAGGCATTCTTCTATTTGTTAGAATTTACCCTCCCTTTTTCGCCTCCTTCCTTCCCCATCCCCCCTCAATGCTTCCCCCCCGAGTTAAGAATCGAAAAAAAAAAAATCATGAACTCTTTAGAATCGAGAGAATAATCGAAAGTGATCAAAAAAAAAAAGTAATTTCTTTTTGCCAGTGTTTATATATACTCCTTTTTGGCTTAATTGAAACCTTCAAACAATGGTTATTTCTTTCTGCTTTCTATTTTTGGTGGTGTGGCTTACATGTATTTGAACTTTTTGCTTGGGTTTTTTTTTTTTT